TTGCTGTTACTCGTAATGATCGAGCGTCAAGATGGTGCCATATTGGGGTAAAGGTGCGATTGTCATATCTTCTTAACAAGTTCGGTGACCCAGATTTTTTTGTGTGATTTTACTTTAAGTATCATAAACTCCATGCCTGGGAAGTTTCAAGACATTCTCATTTCGGGAACAATTACTGCGGAATTACCTTAATCTTAGAAAATAAATAGTTCCAGTATTAAATTCTCTTATTAATAAATGTCTATGAAAAATTCATAGACATTTATTGTGATATAATTCAACATAATAAGTATAACTAGAAGTTACTATCGCAAGGAAAGTGCTGCCTTGGTAGATAAATTCGAGCATAAACTGAATGATAGTTTTAAATTATAGTTTTAAATATACACATACAACAAAGACTCACTGTATGTATCAATTTATTGTGTAAAAATTGAGATTACAACACTCTGCAACACGTTGATTCAGAAATGTTAAAAACTAATTGAGTTTACAAAGCAACATATTTGAGTGTACGATTGTCAATAGAATTCTTGTTACCAACAATTTAAACTTCTAAGTAGAAATGTTTTTGACCACAAAGCTCCCTGGCGATACTATAGGATTGGAAGTTGGAACTTGAAATAATTTGGAAGTACAAATACATGTTGTATGTTCTTTAAATCATTGTGATATCATTGATGCCATTTGTTGACTGTTCTTGTTCTGAAGATATTGATGTTGCATTTGCAGTTTTGGCAAAAATGTTATAATTGTCTTGCTTTCCCATATACCAGCAACTGTTTTATAAATCATACATGTTTATATCCAGTAAATTGTCAGAATCCATAATACAGCAAATCAACAGTCCAATATAGGGTATCTCTCCAAAACAACTGTGAGCACATTACACAGGATTTCAGGTGACAGTTAGAAATCAAATATGTCATTTCCTATGAAATCGATTCCACCCTATTACCAATGATGAAATGCATCCATATTATTCGGTAACAAACATTTTGCTGAAGTAAAAATTTCCTCTACGTCATCCAGCTGTTCAGGTGCCACCATGCAGTTGGTGTAATAGATTAATATTTTGGTACATTGACTACCGGTCAGCGGCAAGCATTATTAAATTATGCGCTGCATATGTCATCATATTGAGTCTTTATATTGACCGGCTGGCTTGACCACATTGTCTTTCTTCCTCAAGGCTTTTCCTGACAGTTTATAACACAACTTAACAGTTTTAATTGGATCCATAGATATCGCTCTTAACGAGAAGTAAGTACATTTTTTTACCACGTCAATATGTCAAATTCAACTCTTTTGTTGCTGGTAGTATATGTCAGGGCAACAAAAGATTTAGCAACATTTCAAGGGCTTTAATAGATTGTGCACTTTTATGAGTCTTTCCCCTTTGCTTTGTGCGAACACATGGCCAATAGAGCAATGGCCAATAGAGCTTTTAGTACAGGAGATATTCCAGATGTAGAAACCCTGTCATTGACGTATCTTTCTGACCAAGTTTGTTGGCCTTCCCATTGACAAATACCCTCGCTTGCAACTATATAAATTAAGGATGAACGGTCGCAGATAAAACATTGCAATAATAGGTAGGTAGGTAGACTGTACCATTAGTATTACATGTAGTTTAAATATAGACTGTAGTATCTAACTATTATGTTCTCTCTCTTTAGCCTGTATCAACCTACAAGCAAAAATCTACAAGCAAAATCAAATCCCAAAATCAAATCCCAAAATCAGAAGAAAAAATGGCACGTAAAAATTGCTATTAATTTGTATGTTCATATATTCGGCTCAGTGCATGCTACAAAGACAGAAATACCACCATTCGATTCAGTGAAACAATATGAACTAATTCGTCAAGATAGTTATAGTCATTTATACCAACAAATGTAGCGATTAATTGTGGCCTTTGAAAGTCAAGCGAGATCGTATATTATCAAATTACGCTATTGTCTGACTATATCTTCTTTATAATAGTCTTGTTCGAATCGCTATCAAAAACACTATTTAGAGTGTCACTTTCGAGCCTGTATCTTTAAATTTGCATCTTTTATCACGGTATTTCCATTTCTGGTATTTCCATTTCGACTGTGAGCTTGAGGTAGCCTAATCCCAACCGGAAAAGGACCTCAAAACGTCAAATCAAAACAATGTGACGTTTGTATCGTATTACTCTGGAAATACCAGATATCCATTCTACAGGTCAAAGTGCATCTTATAGGCGTGATTTTGATGTCATCTTGGCTACGAAGCTGTGAGTAAATATATGATCGTTTCGGTTTGTGTAATGTTTTGATGGCATTTGACCCCTGTTCAAAGGTAATTTTGTGAGGATTGCAATGGTGGTTTTCATTTAAAAGGGGGGTAAATACTCGCCGAGATATTTACATTAGAAACATCGAATCGTTTACTGTAATGCTTTACTGCTTTTCGAGAAAGAGTTAAAAAATAAATAAGGTCATCAAAACTAAACTTATACTTCACTTTACTAATTAGTAATCCTTGTTTCACCTAGATTCCAACATGAAGGGCTATATTCATAGCATTTCTCCAGTGAAAAATGCAAAATCCTCCAACAGAAGGTACTTCAATTTCATAGTGCAGGAAAAGGAGAGCGTGGTTCGTGCTGTATGTTTTACACCAACTAAACACACAGAGCTTCATACTTTGCAGCAGACGAAATCTCCAGTAAGTGTATCCAACTTTGTCAAAACATCTCAAGGTGATGATGTCATCTTCAACCACTATACAAAAATAACCCCTTTGGATTCAACCAAGGTCGACTTTGTGTATTCCGACAAGTTATCAACAACAGAAATGGTAAAGAGCATTTCAGCTTGTAATGAGTTAGCCAATGAACAACTCATCTCGTTAAAAGCACAAGTGGTGCAAATTACCGGTGCGAAAAGGATTCATACTCAGCATCAAGGTATGTTAAAGAAGCAAGAAGTCATCGTGAGAGATACAACCAGCTGTATAAAAGCAGTACTTTGGGGTTCCTATGTGGATACTTTGAGAGAAAATACCACCTATGTTTTTAAAAACTTCAAACTAAAAATATACAGGGGTGAAAAATACTTAAACACACCCAAAAGTGACGAATTTGAAGCGACAGAAACCACTCCATTTGACCAAGAGCTAGTTGATATTGATCTCAACCTACAGTTAACATCTGC